TGAAAGGATTCGCCAACACTGCTTCGCCAGAAGTGCTTGATTAAACGCTCCCACATCACGAAAGCCTATACCCCCATCTCTCTTAGGATGACATAATAGCTCCCACTTTGCCTAATGAATCTTCTTCTTAGTGTCGTTGCCGTCCCACCAGAACCGTGAAATCATAGCTTGAATCATAACTTGTGCTTGCAAGACTAACAATTTTGTATTTTTGGTCCATTAATTAATTATAATTTTACATGTTACTACTGTTGAGATTTCTTTCATTGATTTTCATTTTTCAATCCTTGTGATTACCCGATCCTAATTCTTTCCGTCTTTAAGTTGATAATTGATTGTAAATCTCTTGTTGTACATTAGATATGGACAGGTCATTAGATTGATTGTAGTGCTTATTTAGGCCCCGTTCATTTCACCAATTCGAGTTTTGTTATAGTAAAAAGCTTTCAGAAACATCACATCTAATTTTTTGCTACAGTAAAAAGTTCTCATATAAAGTCACATTCAAACTCGAATTAAAAACTCGAATCAGCGAACTAAACGGACCCTTAATTCTTAGTAGCCTAATTGAGATTCATCTCAATATATTGATGTACAATTTCGTTACAAACATAAATGAAAACATTCTTGATCTATGAATGTAGGTGAAACGCCGAATCACGTTACAAACATATTATGAATGAATGAAAACGTTCTTGATTTGTGAATATATGTGAAATGCCGAATCACGTTAAAATCCTTCGTTTTCATTCTTCAATTATTTTTTCCTTACCTTGATTTCTATTTCCAAGAACTACTTCCCGGCTTTCTTCTCTGGATAAGAAAGGCTTCTCATTGCTCTTTGTTGTGTCATTTATGAAGATGTTTATGTTTCAGAAGATTATCCCAACACTATCAAACCTCTTAATTATTACGGAGGATATATGTCTATCTATCTATTAAAAAAGATCAGTCATCTTTATCTTTAAAAAAAAAAAATTGAAATAAAGCGGTTTGGGCTTATTCTCTTTTTCTTATCCATGATTTGCCTTAAAAGTGAAACAATTATTTGGCGAATGACAATTTACTCTCACTATTTTCCGTTGTTTTAGTACCGGTGAGCGAATCAACATGGTACGTTTGTTTCTTATATTCGTTCTTAATTTTAAATCATGATTCATAATTTTTTACAATATTTTTTCTCACAAAAAATATACGTAAAATCAGAATGGTTCTGAATACATAAACCAAACGTCCTCTAAGAATTTTATGTCCATTTCCTACATTCGGGAGTGAATCAATAAAACCATACGTGGTTACAAACATACTTAGCGATAATTTCACACATAACTTTATCATGCGTTATAGAACTTAAATCTCTTCGCAATAAATTTAAAAAATAATAGTATCAAAATAATGGAGTTTCTCCTTAGGACCAGAAAAATATAAATATCAGCGGTTCTATTTTTTTAGTCGTTTTTCACCATCAGATCTATATAAAAAACTGTCTGTGTCTGTTATGCATATATTTTTAATATAATTTAATTTTGACTAGATTTAACGGTCACAAACTAATCCTAGCCTACCGGAGACAATCTCTATAAATAAAACTATTAGAAATTTTCTAGTCTTTCTCGTAAGACGGTCCAACGAAAATGAAAAGGTTGGTGTGTATAAGAAGAAATTGAAAATGTCGACTTAACCTCAATTCCTATAAAAATTGACTTAAGCAGTTAAGCTTAAGTGCTTAACCCTCTCCAGTTCCTCAAAGTTCGTTGACCTCTTAACTCTAGTTGCCCCTCAAGGTCTACGAAGGGTGTTTTAGAGTAATCTCACGAAAAAAAAAATATAATAATAACAATAATAATAATAATAATTCGCCAACACTGCATAATAATAATAACAATAATAATAATAATAATAATAACAACAACAATAATAATAATAACAATAATAATAACAACAACAACAATGATAATAATAATAATAATAACAATAACAATAACATTTGATTATAGGAAGATGTTGGTAAGTAGGGTTTGCATTAATCATGATATGCGAATTCAATTGATTATAGTAAATTTATTGATGAATCATATTGCTTCCAAATTACTATCTCTTTTTGTTTTATAATTGGTACTATCATTTGTTCTTTTTATTTTTTTTTCTTTTGATCTTATGCATAGAAATAATTTTCTTCCTCCTAACAATCATTTGTGACCCTAATGATGATGGTACTCGATGTTATCTTCAAAATTGATCCATGGAATTCACAAATTCAACAAGGAAAAAAAAACTTGCATTTTTGTTTAGACTCACTTTTTTTTTTTTGCCTGAAATTCTCTGTCACTTGTATAAGATGAATGAATACTTTTATTATTTAGCATGCATATATATATATATATATATATATATATATGATCATCTTTATGGGTTCAGAGTGAATTCTCATATTTCTTGTTTCCCTCTCTCTTCCTCACTCTTTTATGAAGAAGGATTTTGCTTGAAGATGGTACCAAGAAAATGCGGTGAGCTATGCAATATATGTTAATTTATGGGCCTTTGCACATTATTTAATTTCTTTATGTTCATTTTCTACCCTTTCAATGTCAGTCATATAGTATAGACTCTATTGTCAAATTTACCTTAAATAATGATAAAGATTAACGTTTTTTTGGCATAAATAATATTTAATACTATTAAATTTTCTGTATCATAATGATATTCTTTGAATAAGTACTATGGAAGCAACATGTATTCATGCGTCATCTAAACAATTTAACAATGAAAAAATAAACCAATTCTTTAACGACGTATCTTTCTAACTATTTAACATCGGTCATAAAGTGTCTATTAACAATTTTTAACATGGTTATAAAAGTGATGTCTTTAAGGGCTTGTTTGGAAGGTACATACAAAACACGATTCTTAATTTTGACGTTTAAAATTAAAATTTTTTGTGAGAGGAAAACACTGTAATAGAATTAATAATTTGAGTTTGAGTATATGAAACAAATAAGTCTTAAATGTGTTTAGTAACAATGTGTAACCGATGTTTTTAAACATTTTTATCAACGGTTTTGACCGATGTTATGAATGTCGATTTTTAACAATACCTTCTTTAACATCAGTACCAAAACCATTGTTAAACATTCTTTAACAATGGGTTTTCAACTGATGTTAAAAGCAATTTGTATAGTATTGAATTTCTCTCTCTCTTTTTTTTTTTTTTATAAATCGGTTAGATAATAAAAATTGGGAAATGTAGAGTTATTCATTGAGTCTCCTAATCAACAAAATCTTAAATTTTTATTGAAATTCAACAAACTAACTCCTTGCTCAATATCGTCTCTATTTTTTATTCAATGCTATATATTTTCATTTTCAAGAGAAAACTAGCTAATAAAAAGAAATTATTTCGTGAAACTTTATTGATGAATCATATTGCTTCATTAATCATGATATGCGAATTCATTTGATTATAGTAAATTTATTGATGAATCATATTGCTTCAAAATTACTATGTCTTTTTGTTTTATAATTGGTACTATCATTTGTTCTTTTTTATTTTTTTTCTTTTGATCTTATACATAGAAATAATTTTCTTCCTCCTAACAAATCATTTGTGACCCTCCTTTTAAAGCTTTTTTTTTAATAAATACCTTATAAAATTTTTGGCCAAGCTGGCCTTAAGCCTTTCATGCTTTAGGGTTGATTTAGGTTGTCCCTCTCCAATTTAGGATCAACCTGTTCTCTCTCTATCTCTCTCTCGATTCTCTGGCAACCCACAACGATTTTGGCTACTATGTGCTCAGATTAACTCGTAATTGGCCTATGAAGCGATTGGTGCCGGCGGTGCACACCATCACCCAATGGATAACGAAATCCGATGATAGCTACTGATGATATTGGCGGTGTTTCGGCGAGATTCGATCGACAAAACTGGTTTGGTTTTCCTCGTCTCGTCACTCTAAGTCTAAAGAGACCAAAATCACCTCGAGCGGAAGTCGAACGTCGAAGATATCACAATCAGAAGTTTTGAGTGATTTAAAATTTCGGCCAGTAAGTGTGCCATCCTTCGGCGGAACTAACAGCCCGTAAGGCACAGTTCTAAACTCAACTTGTTGAGAGCTTTTTGATGGGCTAGGAGGTGTCGAAAATGGACGCTAGTCAGAGGTTATTAACTGTGCTCGGAGAAGAGAAGAGAAAGGGAAAGAGAGAGTATTTGTAAAAAAAAGTTGAGAAATAAACATTTTGTAGGATAAAAATAATTGGATATGAAAAAATGACTTACAAAATGTTAGTGACATGAGATAAATTTAAAAACAATGACATAAATAAGATACAATTATCCTTTTACGTTTTTTTTTGAAAATTTTCCAAGTTAAATTAAATGAGTCTCTGTTTGTTTCAACAATCCGAATTGTTGTTTAGGATTAAAATCGTAGTTTAGTATTCAAATAAGTGTTTAAGAGAGGACAATTTAATGACAGTTCAAATCATTAACAATGGTTCAAACACTGATTTTAGAATTCACCTCCTAAATTCTAACATTCATCGTTTTTATAGCGAAAATAATTTTGATTATACTTTTTCTCTCTTTTTAATTTCAAGCTTAAAAATGTTATAATTTCTTCGTTTTAATTCTGATTGAGATAATTTTTTTAATACGTTCAGAGAAATAAATCCCCATCTATATTGCATATTTTTAGATGTCATTTACAATGAAATTAACTCTAATAATAATTTTTAACACTTTATCTAAATATAATTCAAAATTTATTTTCAATTTAAATTATAATTTATTTACGTATTTAAATATTAATTTAAATTACAATATAATTATGCATAATTTAAATCACTACAACACAAACCGGTGGAAAAAAGAGACAAATAACCTCTCAGACCGCACGAAAGCCCAAAAATGTTTGGGCCTCTAGTGACCCAAATTCTTGGCCCATCCAATCTCCTCCTCCTCCACCTCCTATCTATCCATTCGCCATTATCAGTCCACTGCTCTATCCAAACTCCACTGCTACTTCTCCTCTCTCAGTCTCTCTCTGGCGCGCGCTTTGGTTGCGTCTTGGCAAAGTAGCCGCGATGTCGAAAGGAACGGACCGCATGGTGAAGAGCTTGAAGAAGTTCGCAGACATTCAGTACAAGCTCTTCACCGCTCGCTACGGCCAACAAATCATCGACTTCTTCGACTTCCCAATCAAGCTCATCCTCTCTCCTTTCACTCTCCCCTTCGACATCGCCGGCTCCGCCCCCCGCGGCTTCGGCGTCCCCGAGCTCATCTCCAAGCTCTCTTACGTTTCCATTTTTGTAATTCCTTTTTAGAATATTCTATCTCTCTATCTTCTTTGTTTTTTGTTTTTTTTTTTTTTATATGTTGCCCACCAGGTGTTTGGTTAAATGTCTACTCTTTTTGACTTCTTGTTTCTTGGAGTGGATTAACTTAGTCAAATGGGTACTCCAACTTTGAATTTGGGTTACCTTTATCCTCTGCTAAAATGGGTGTTTCTTTTTTTAAATAATAATTGATCTGGGAAATTGAGATATGGGTTAGGCTTTTTCTACTCGTGGGAAGTCATTTGCCCGTTTGGCTTATAAATTTGAACAGATAGTTTAAACAGAAATTCAAATTTCCTTGAGAGAAAACGCCGTAACAAAAAAGTTTGAATTATGGTTCAAATGCGAATCAAACCGATGCTTAATCTCATTTGAGTGATATTCTCTCTCCTTTAAATTTATTCTTCTTCTTAATCATGGGTTAAATGATGCAGGCTGTTGCAACTCTAGGGACTTATGACATTGCATTGGAGCTGGGAAAAAAGGTTATTTGTCAGAGGTAATTTATTATCTAAATTATAAGTTTGAAATGCATATTTTTAATCAGTGCCCTTCTTGCTATAACGAGATATGTTTTGGGCAAATTTTGCAATTTTAAATGGATGTCCTAGGAAAGAGAACTTCCAACTTCAATCATGGTTGCAAAAGTTTGTAACTTTGAGTTCTTGTTGTAGACCTTGCTATTTGGTAAATTGGAAGAATTTGATATCTGAAGCTTATTCATGTAAACGTTAATTTTTAATTGTTATTTTGGTTTATTCTGTTTGAACTCTTAGCTGACAAATTAAAAGTAGAATGATCTCACTAGTTCAACTTTTTTTTTTCTTTTTGGGACTTCCTTTTTGAGATTGGTCTTGATTTGCAGAAACTGTCAAACGTGCAACGGATGGCAGGCATTGCGTTGCACTTTGTGCAAAGGATCAGGAAAGGTGCAGTACCAAGTGAAAAATTACAAGTTGAAGAGGTAGATTCTTCTCCATCCAGTTTTACATCATTCGGTCTAAGACAATATAGCTTATGAGTGCAATATGTTTTCTCCCTTAATTAAAGAATGGAAATGTTTTCATTTTGAGCTTAGTTTTTGGATCCAGCTTTTCCTTATAGAATGTCATAAAAAACGTTTGAATATAAAGTTCTAACTGATATAGCAAACCCAAACCAAAACTGAAATTGATAGATCGTGTGGGCTCAGTCGTGTTTTCCAGTATTGAGATCTTCTCAATGTTTCCAAGTTGGTTCAATGAGGATTTAGCCCTAAAAATAAACTTATTGACCCTCACAACCGTCGTTATACAATAGGGAGTATCTACATCAAGCTTTGAATTGGCCTCACCATTTTCTTCCTCCTATTTAACATATCTTACGTCTCCCCTGTTTATGTTTGTGCAGCGGGGAGAAGGCAACGGCGGAATGTATTGCCAATGCCATTGCTGATAATCGGGCTGAGTTGGTTCACCTTCCATCCACCATTGAACTTCAAGCATCATTGCCATCTAAAGATTGCCCAACCTGTGATGGGACGGTAATTCTCCTTTATTTTATCGTAACATAGATACAAATCATTTTTACTCCCAATTTACTTATTTAGGCTTTTTCCTGGGTAGCTTTTCTTTCAATATTGTAATAGAAGAGTACGGTTAATGATTATTAGTTATCACATTTACACCTGATAAATATTCACCTCTTTTGCGGTTTGTGTTTCAGTGAAGAGTAGTCCTGATACTTCTAAATATTGCTGATTTCCTTGTGATCCTGTCTACCTGTTTTCTATAAAGAATTTGCTTCACATATTCAATTTGTTTGGAGGTTATATGAAATACTTTGTAGTATTGCAGGGTGTAATGGGCTGTCCTGAATGCAAAGACAAATTACAAGTCAGAATATCTGCAGATGACGTGAGTTATTTTTCTGACAACGGAAGGTTTCAAGTGTATTGTTTGCCAATATTACCTTTAGAACTCTCTTTTGTATTTATTATCTTTCTAAGAGGAGCTTTTAATTTTTGCTGAATGCTAATTTTGGATCTTAATTTTACATTGTTATAGAAGGTACAGTATTTGTCTTGAGAAAAAAATCTTAGGCATAAAAATGTTAACTGGGCAATGTATGGTGTCAGGAGTCATATTTAGTTCATATTCTTGTATTACTCTTTTAAGAGTTGAGACTCACTCGGTCATTAAATTCAATAATTCTTGCTCCAAATAAAAAAAAAGGTGCAAAATTTAACGATATATACTTGTGTAAAAAATATGCTATCCATGTGAATAGAGAAACTAAAAAAGAAGACTCAAGAGCTTCTCTAAGGCTTGAATTCCACAAATAAATGCACAATACTATAGCACAATTAAACTATTTGCTAAAACCGTAGGTCTCGGGAATCCATGTGTCAATTAATCCCTAATGTCCTGTAAGCTGCATTTCCACTTCTACTGTTCTTTGCATTCTCTTCCCTTTATCTTATCATGCATAATAAAGTTGTTTTCATCGTTAAGGAAAAACAAAAAAACTTTGTTCATCCATGCAACTTCAGTTGTGTTCGGCCTTAATGGGTCATGTTTTATTTACCATATCGACTGTTATTATTCTGCAGATCATGGAACCTCCTTGGAAAGCCTACAATGTATTAAGAAAGATGGATTATCCCTATGAGGCTAGTACCATATCTTGTTCTTTTCCACATGTTATTACATTTTGTGAGGAAAAAAAAAAAAAAATTTTAAAAGCCCAAACCTTAAACTGAAAAATTATTTGTGTGGCATCATCTACCGGAAATTAATCACATTGGTATTTTATCCGATTCCGGCCTTAATGGGTCATGTTTTATTTACCATATCGACTGTTATTATTCTGCAGATCATGGAACCTCCTTGGAAAGCCTACAATGTATTAAGAAAGATGGATTATCCCTATGAGGCTAGTACCATATCTTGTTCTTTTCCACATGTTATTACATTTTGTGAGGAAAAAAAAAAAAAAACTTTAAAATGCCTAACCTTCAATCTGAAATTTGATTTGTGTGGCATCATCTACCGGAAATTAATCACATTGGTATTTTATCCGATTCCATATGAGTTGTTGGCTGGTAAAAGATCTTAGCAATATCTCGATGGAAGATATTCATGCAATTGAGCATAGAAACTCTTAACATTAATAGCTTTGTGCTTCTCACAAATTTTCTCAATTTTCTACTTTCTACATCCTTTTCCCTCTTTTCTATTATCTCAGTAAATTTCCTTAAAACTTGCATTTGTATTTAGGAGTATGATAAACTTGGTGCATGGTTCAGATTTCTTGTTCTTGTCTAATATTTTCACCTTGTCATTGTTTCAGCATATAGTCCACAGCATGAAGGATCCCAGTATTGCTGCCTTTTGGTTGTTTACGTTGCCTGAGGTTGCAGGTGGTTTTGAATATGATGACGATATCAAGAAGAAAATTTGGTGGCAGTACAAGGTTCATGGTTTTTTATGCTTTTTCCCCATTCACTCCTATTAGGCTAACTTGAAACTTGCTCCTCTCTTGTTTTCTACAAGCTTATTGTTGTACAGAAATGTGTAGAGTAGTTTGAGCAAACATAGTACCAAGTACCGAAGTGTTATGGAAAGGTTCTATGAAACCTAAAGTTCCCTCCATTAATTGATTTAAATATTGTGAATTCTGTGCTTCTGGTTCTGATGCAGCACCATATTGGAATCTAAGCTAAACTAGTTGAAATGTTTGTACAGATTTTATTGCTAAGATTGGCTAGATAGAATGTTTATCCTATGTTATATATCTTTATCTACCTCCTTTCTCATATGGGCCATTCTCTTGGGAAAATACATGGAGTATTTCTGTTGTAAAACCACGGAACTTGAATTAATTGCTTATGCTTTATTCCAGTTCAAAGGAACTGATACTTTTCTGAAAACAATAACCGCAATATAACTTTATTCTTTTTGTTTACCTTTAAAATCACACAATGACAACAGCATTCACATGGTGATTAGAAATTTCTAATAGTGCCTTACTGTAGTTATTGCATTTTGTTGGGTTAGGAATCCATGCGGTATGATCAACTCCGTGATGTGGTGGCTAAGAGAAAACCTGGATGGGAGCACTTACAAGAAGTAAGAAATGCTTTTCTTGTTCACATTTACATTATGGTTTTTAGTGACTGAAGGAGTATGATTCTCGTTTAAGTTTTTATATTTGTAGTGACATTATAGGATGAAAAAGATCACGTTCAAGTGCTAAAGTGCTGAAGTTAAGTGCAAAACTTTTGGTTTGATTTGTTAATTTAGCCATTGATTCATGGTCTAGTCACACTCTTGATGAGGCAGATGTGAAGGATGACTTTGTAGTTTTACGCAATGAGAACTTGGAAACACTTTTTTGGTGGCTTATGCCTGCCTTATCAACTCCTCTTTCTCTGCACATGTATGTTGGTTATTACAGCTGTTATTATTTTTTAGTTATCTTGGTTGAGCTTTAAATGTTGAGATTTATATGTAGTATTTGAAGAATTGGAATCATACTTTTGAACTTGTAAATGCCTAAATTGTGCAATTCCGTCTTACTACTTTTGAGAAAACACTATACGGATATTCTTTTCCTTATGACAGGCCTTAATTTCCATAGATCCTGATCGTGCCAAGAATGACCCTGTTATAGTGAAAAACATCCCGTACTACAATGCCAAGAAGGCACTAGAAGCAGAAACCATGAAACTCAATCCTCCACCAAGGCCAACAGATTGGGGTGTAAGTATTGTTTAGATTCTTCTATCAAAAAAGTGTTCTCTAGCTTCATGCTGTTCTGCGAGTCTCATATTCAACATTTGCGCACGCTTTATAACACGTTTCTTGTTTCATGTTTCAATATATCCTTGATTATCTACTGTTTAGTATTTTTCAGTTTTCTAAAGATTGTACTTGTTGTAAAGTCATGAAGGATTACATTGTTGATTGCCTAGCAAATTTTTAGGTGATTAAGGAATAATATGAGTTACAAAACAGCACCAGCAAATTACAGTTTGTTTAGAAGGAACCCAGGCCAACTGATGCGTTCTGTTGAATGAACAGCAACACTATTTGCCCAACAATGAAACTTTTTGTTCTGGGACTTTACAACGTTGGGAAGCAGTTTAGAAATAGGTTACGTGTGTTTTCATGTACTTTTCAAACACGGTCGAAGAAGAAATATGTTCCACGATTACAAAGTGACTTAAATTATATGGTGGCAGAAATGAATTTTTAAATTTTCTTTGTTTGTCTTGAATTTTTTTGATCTATTCTGTATATATATATATATATAGACACGCGCGCACGCACATGTATCCCTCTTATGAATGTGCCTGTATGTTTCTGTGTTTCCATATGTCTGTTGAACATTTGTTCCTCGTTTTCTCTTTGCATATTTCAAGTGTCAGGCACAAAAACCTTGAGATTTTAACATTAGATGTCAGGAGTCAGTCCATGGCGACATTAGCTTCAAGTTTGGATGGTTTAATTAACTTTTGATCAGTGGCAGGAGCTGAACCTTCCACTGAATGAGTCTTCGTGGAGCAAGGAGGATCTAAAGGATCCTGACAAATTTTACGAAATGACCGTCCTCCTTAATGGCCAGAGAGAAATGGCTGAAAAGATTTTGGATGCACAGTGGGAGAACAAGTGGCGCCAAGAAAAGGTTAGTTACCTCTGAATTTTACAAGAAGCGGCAAATGAATTTATCGGTGTTCCTCCATCCTTCGTGAACTCTTTTGAACTTCATTAGAGGAGAGAAACATGAAGAATACAAGTAGTGTTATAGGTGGTTGAAATTGCAGTACTACTGCGGGTGGTTAGATACACTATAGGTGGCTATAAAGAGGAACCAAAATGTGCTGTTCACGAAAGTGTCTTCCATTATTCTTTGAGCTTGAAATGCTTAACTGGTGAACGATCTTTGTGTGCTGTCAAGGATTTTCGGTGATTTTAAAAATAAAAATGTAATTAACTAAGGAAATTCAGGAACTATTGAACAAGCGAGGAGGACAATAGAGAGGTGAGAGTACGAGAATTTTAGGAGGCTGAGAAAAATTCATGACGTATATTTTTTTTTTCATTGAAGAATTCTTGGGTAGGAACTAGGACCATAAGATACACGAAAACACTTTGCTAGTTTTGAGCAGTTTAGATGTACAGATTTTTATCAAGTTTCGTTCAACGTTGCTTACTTTTTTTCATTTGACATTCTTATGTAATGTAATGTTTGGACCGGTACAAAATCCCCACTATAGAAGCACATTATGGGCACAGAGTCTCTCTCTCTCTCTCTAATTGTGTTTATTGAGTTATTTGTTCCTGTCTATGCTCAGTTGAATGAGATGTTGGAGGAGAAGGTGCGGCCATATATTCAAAACACAGATAATGCTGTTCTTTCTCGGCCAATTCTACTACAATCACAAGATCAGAACAAAAAGGTTTTTTGATTTCTTCCCCTAACCTACATTGAGCAATGAGCATCTTCTTAAATTTCAGTAGAAACCGCAATGCAAAAATACTTGTGTGAAGGCAAATATCAGGGACATTAGATTTGTATCAAGAAGAGTGATAAAATATGGGTTGGGATATCTATATTAGATGTTATGTAAATTTAGGTACCCTTATTTCATTTCTGCACACAGGATGCGTGAAAAACCTTCTCCGGGTACAAGTCGGGACACATACCCTGTGAGACGGCGGAGGGCGCCTGATAAGAACCAAGAAAAGATTATTATTGAAAACAAGAACTAGACTCGATTACAAGATAGATTTGTAGACTTTCGAGAGGTCTGCTAGCTCTCCTAAAGGGTTTCCCCAGTTTACTCTAATCAATCCCTTAATCCCCCCCAAATGCTAGCATCTCTTTTTATATTACTAATACCCCTCTAACAAACTGCTGACAACTAGTAATACTAATACCCCTCTAACAAACTGCCGACAGCTATTTCTACACCATAATAACTTCTACTATCAAACTAACTACCCAAGACCATCATTAATGAGTCCCTATCATTACTCCCCCGGCAAAAATACCTTGTCCTCAAGGTGTTGATTAGGTAATTGCACTTGAATGATGCCATCTTCTTCCCATTTCAATGCACGTGAACCTTGGAACGTCAAAGGTAGCAGTAATTCCAAGTCTGCCCTTTGTGAAATTTTCAATTCCAATTCCTATCACGCCAATTCCTTTCAACCAAATCCGGCCGGTATTTCGTAACCCAGTCCAAATCTTGTTGGAACTCACGCCGCATATCCCTGACCCAGCCCCAGTCACGCTGGAATTCCAAGACCCAATCCTAATTGCTCCGAAATCATCCCTCATGACACTTGGATTCCAAGTCCCAGCCCTCCCATCGAGAGACCCAGCCCCTAAATCGCCAGAATTGATCTTCATCGCGTCGGAATTGCAAATCCCAGCCTTCATGGCGGCAGAACTAGTCCTAAGTACACCAGAATCATGAATCTCATCGTTGACAGTGCTTGATTCCATCCAAACTCCACGCAAATCTTCTGGGTCAGTCATCGGATCGTCATTTTCTCCCTCTGCTGGTTAACACAGACACGAATTCAGCTTCTTGAGTTGTTGCCTACTTAGATCTAATCACAGATCGTCACACAGGCCAGTTCGCAACTCATATGGTGTTGATCGTTGGCGGTGTTCATCGGGTTCTGATCACGTTTCCTCTAGCGTCGCTTGTCGGATTCGGTCTCCCAGATTTTGTCGCGAACCTCCAAAAACCCCAAGATTTGAAACTCTAGGATCTGAAAACCTAGATTTTGACTCAAGATCACCATTCTTCTTGCATTCTGATAGCTCTTGACGTCGATCTGTTACTATGGTCGACGCCGCCGCCACTCCAAATCTCACCTCCATCCTCTTTAGAAGTTGCTCCACGTTTTGAACCATGGCTTCAACCTTCGCAACAGAGCAGTTTCCCTTTGCTGGTTGGAAACATTGAAACAAATGCGTCTTAAAAGCACTCCAACAAACGAATGGCCGCCTT